CACACCACCAAGACTTGCACCTCCCGGGATCAGCGCGAGCCTGGCACGACCCAGCCAGCGTGCGAGCTGTACAACAAGGGCCGGTGTAATTTTCGGAACTGTAGATATCGCCACGTCTGCAGACGTTGCCACCCGGTGCGGGGCGCACGCCGGCCACTGAGGCCCCGGCTAGTCTGTATCCTGGCTTATCCACACACACACCTCACCTCCTGTTGTTTTTAATGCATTCGTGTCTGATTCGCACACACATACACACCATGCCTTACCCTTGCACACCCCTCACACTCCAATTGTTCTGTAGGCATTAAAAATTGAATTGGTCGCACACCCTGATCCTGCATATGTTGCCCATTTGTTAGTGTTTACGCTATGGTTTTAGAGTTGGCAATGACGGTCCCCGTTATTCTTTCCTTTGTGAGAATCTTGCTTCAGCATTTGTTTCCCCTGCTTACCTCGCTTAATAGATTCAGCTTGGTCATATGGCCGGTCCGATTTGGCAACCCCCGTTCGCCAACTCCCGTTCGGCTGGCATCGGTGTCATTCCGAAGAAGTCGGGTGGCCACCGCCTGATAGTGCATCTGTCTGTGCCGGCCAGCGCTAGTATCAACGATGGCATTCCCGATGACCTGTACAGCCTCAAGTACATTACTGTGGATGTCGTCGTGGGCACGTGATCCGTCACGGCAAGGGCGCGCTAATATACAAAGTGGATATCCGCCACGCATTCCGCAACATCCCTGTCCACTCACACGATTAGCCCCTCCTAGGCATGGTGTGGGACGGGCAGTATTATTTCGACAAGGTGCTGCCATTCAGACTGCGGTCTTCCCCAGCTCTCTTCAACCTGCTGGCAGATGCGCTATGTTGGATACTCCGGCACAACTATTCCCTGGCCGACCTCAAACACTATCTGGACAACTACATCGGCGTTGCCCCGCCTAGCCCCTCACCTCAATCATCTACCGCAGCCATTCAACAGGCGACGCTGCTAACCATGTTTGAGAACTTGGGCGTTCCAGTGACTACCGGCCAGGACAAGGTCGTCCCTCCAACGACTGTGATGACTGTCCTGGGGATCGAAGTTGACAGTGTGGAGCAGGTGACACGGTTCCCCCAAGTTGTCCGCCCTCCACACAGCTCTGGCAACTTGGCTCCAGCGCACCGACTGCTCCAAGCGTGAGCTCCTGTCCCTCATTGGCACGCTGTCCTTCGCCGCCAAGGTGGTCCCCGCGGGCCGCACGTTCATTTGGCGCCTCATTGACCTCAGCACAGCGGCTTCCGCCATGTCTGCCCGGATCGCGATCGACGAGGAAGCGCGCTTTGACATCGCCTGGTGGCATTGCTTTGCGGCCGACTGGAATGGGAAGTCCTTCTTCCATGACCAGCCCTGTTCCCGTTCTCCTGACCTCCAGTTGTTCACAGATGCCTCCGGCGAGGGCTACGGGGGCTACTTCCAGGGCGACTGTTTTTTTGGGAAGTGGCCGGAGGAGTTTGATCTCCTCAGTTAAGCGTTATTATGGTTAGGGAAATGGGTCCCATTGGTCTAGCTTGCTGCATTTGGGGTCCGTGCTGGGCAGGGAAGAAGCTGTTGTTTCATTGCGATAATGAGACGGTAGTTTGAGCTTGGAAGAATGGTTCATGTAGGAACAAGCAGGCCATGGCGTTGATCCGCTTTATGTTAGCTGTTGCTGCTAGGCGCAATTTCATATTGTATATCCGCCATATTGCTGGCACTAATAACGGCATTGCTGATGCTCTTTCTCACTTGCAGCTGACCCGCTTCCGTCAACTGGCGCCAACGGCGGCTGTTTCGCCAGTGCCATGCCCCTGCTGGACCTTGCTGCACTAGGCCTTGAGGCTGATGCACTTGTAGCAGGTTCAGTGTCGGAACACTCAGCGAGAATTTTCTCCACTGGCATTGATGCCTTGAATGATTATTGCGTTACACATATTGTCAATCCCCTTGCACCCTCCAATGAGGATATCGTGTTATTTGCTACCGAGCTATCCTGTACGAGGTGTGCGGCGACTGTGCGTGTGTATTTGTCAGCGGTACGGTATCATTTGCTGTGCAAGCATGTTCCTGTGACTTGTTTGCAGTCGGTCCGTCTTTCTGCAGTTCTCAAAGGCCTTGAGAGGAGGCAGGGTCCGGCCACCACGACGCGGAGAGGTCTCACTGGGCAAGATCTGGCCGACTTACAGCATTTCCTACTCCGGTCCAACTACAGCGAGTCGGACCGCGCAATGATCTGGGCCAGTGTCTTGACAGCGTTCCACGGCCTCCTGCGGGCGAGTGAATTCTTGGCACCGCATGCAATAAGAGTCGATAGCACACGCACGCTAACCTGGCAGCAGATCAGCGTCCAGATATCATCGGCAGTCGTCCGCTTGCGGGTGACGAAGACAGCCCAGCTGGGTGACGGCTGCAAAGTACAGCTGCGCGAGACGCGCGACGACTTCTGCCCTGTGCGTGCCCTGACCGCCTATCTAGACCTTGCGGGTCAGAGAGAGGCAACGGAGCCAGTGTTTGTGTTTGGGTTTGGCCGGTTTCTGACCAGGGAGGAACTGAACAAGATTCTGCAGCTAGCCCTGAGGACGAACGAGGTCAGCTCTCACTCCATGCGTATCGGTGGCGCTTCACTCATGGCACAGCATGAGGCATGTGAATGGTAAGTAAAACCGGCGGGCCGCTGGAGAAGCTCTGCATGCGAACATTACGTGCGGCAGGCAGCCTAGCTTGTAAGTTAGTGAGCGGCTCTCGCCATGATAACCATGAGAACTAATGTGTGTATGCCTGCACGGGCACGGTATTACTGTGAGTAATTTGCTGCACTTGCAGCCGTGGCCACAAAGCTAGCTCGTCGTGGGTTGCGGGGAACAGGATGCCATGGTTTCTAGTACTACTATATTTTTGGGGCAAACGGGCCTCCTATAATGTCTGTATGTTGTGACGCCTGATGCCAGGCAGTCGTGTGAGCCCTCGGTGGGCGACCGGCTGCCTCGGTGGCCGTTTGTGTGGCCTCGACGGGCAAAATAATATCGGCCCACGGTGGGCAGTTTGCTGGCCTCGGTGGCAATTTACGTACCCTCGATGGCAATTTGCGCACCCTCGATGGGTTGTCTGTTGGTTTAGCCCTCGACGGGCGGTTTGCTGGCCGCGGCGACCATTTAAGCACCCTCAGTGGGCAGTATGCTAGTTTAGCCCTCAGCGGGCAGTTTGCTGGCCTCGGCGACCATTTGCGCGCCCTCTGTGGGCAGTCGGCTAGTTTAGCCATTCGGGCGCCCTCGGTGGGCAGTATGCTAGTTTAGCCCCCGGCGGGCAGCTGCTGGCCGCGGTGGCCATTTGTCCGCCCTTGGCGGGCGGATGCTAGTTTCAGGCATGCATCTTCACTCACTCTATTATTATCAAAGAGCATATTTTTGAATATTTGAATTGTCCAAAAGAAATCCTGGCAACCCCCAACCCAATGTGTCTATTGTATGTTTGTGCACGCCATAATGAGCGGTACGTCGTGCGGGTGTCTGCGTGTCAGAGCATGGGTACGCCAGTGGCGTGTGCGTGCATGTGTGCGCTTGTGTCTGACTGCGTGGGTGCACGAGTGCACAAGCTGGGCGTGCGGGATCACTTGGAGGTGCTTGCATATTTACGGGTGCAGGGATTAACCGTGTACTTACCCTCGCATTCACTCGCGAACTATCAAACACGTCCTGTGCCGCATGCTGATCAGGTAGTGCCATGTATGTGTTGTACAGTGTACTCTCAGTTGACATGCCTCCTTTCGAATCCAGACAATCTTTTCGGGATTGGTCTATAATGCCATCTTTCTGTCTTCAGGATGCTGAGTCGAATGGTCTTGGTCCGAGGAATTTGAGACGCTTCCTCCTTTATCCCCAATCGAAACTGGGTGACACTATCAGAGGGGGATTTAGGAAAGGGTTTGCTCCCACACTGGAGCTCGCGCTATTCCGCCGACTTGACTTGACACTTGACTCCGGTGTGGCAGCAAACCCTTTCCTAGAAAAAAATCATCGCCGAAGGCCCAACCACTATTTCACAGAGGGGGGCTTGTATGCAAAATGTCACTAAAAGCGCCAGTTCGTTCTTATGAAAGCACGGATGAACACAATTGGCCCATAATATGTTGTAGTCTTTTGGATGCTGAGTCGACTGGTATTGTTCCAAGAAGGCTGCGATGCAGCGTTTGGCCCTTATTCCCAAATAAAACACGGGTGAGTAAGCGGTCACGTGCTTGTCACCTGGTCATCGTGCCTGCAGGCTACAACATTTTTACACCAAGGTTCAACTCAAAGGTTCAAAGGGGGTTCAACTCGAGTAACAGGAACGCGCCCAAACAGGCTGTAAGTTGTAAGGAGCTGAGCTGCTCACTATGCACCAGCTGTACAAGTCATTGCCTGCCTGCTGGTTGTTTCACCTGCTGCTTATTCTTCCAGCCACGAACGCCACATCGGAGAGGTCATTCAGTGCACTTCACAGCCTGAAGACGTTTATTCCATCCACACAAGACCATGTCAATCATCCTTCTCCAAGTTATGAAAATTCGTATACATCTAGAGGTTATACCAATGATTTCATAGAGATTTTCGAATGGACACACTAGTATACAAGGGTGAGTCAGCAGATTTTGGAATGTATTCAATATGCGGCGCTGTGCCACGATCACTCACGAATCTGCGACTTTGCCAAAAACATTTCAACTGACGATGCAATTGTATAACCTGTATAGGTGCACTACATGTACTGGTACATTGTAGTAACTTGATTCGGTCATATCATTTTAAGTTAAAAATGTCTCTCCGGACCAGTCAAATATGTGGCAGCTACAGCCCGGGCATACATGATGCCGTGCATTATGTACCCATGCGCACATCAATATTCAGTACATGAGGAAAAATGGTTTGGTGTCCTTGAAAAATACTTGATATCACAAGAGTTTGTTGCAAAGCACATTTGATTGGTGCATTCCACCTCCAAAGCTCACCTCATCTTGGACATTAACGTCGACACCATTTTTTATCAGCAGCTCACACAGTGCTTTATGTCCACGGACCGCGCAGACATGTAGAAGTGATACTGGGCGACAGAGCTATTAGGTCACCATAGCAACAATCACACACATACCCACATACACATTCTTACAATCACTTGCAAAGCATACAAGTTCCAGATTTTTCCTTTCTATTGCACCATAGTACCATACACATGCACTCGAAGTACAATTGACTTCTCCAAGAACACAGCATATCTCATCTTAGTGTGTGTGTCGTAGAGAACGTGGACATAGTAAATGCTGGCTGGAACTAGAAACAAAATTCACAATAATACTTGCATCAGTGGTGCCTATGAACTGAACTCATAACCTCAGATTAGTGATACAAAGAGTACATAACCCCAAGAGTGTACAACTGACCACACAGCCTTTATCCAGTGCTGCCATGCCAGAACTTCACATCACTCGTGGTTCAAAAGGTTACGCTGGCAAGCAGTGCAAAGTGACCACAGGAGAGTTGAACCCAAAACAGGATTGGGTTCAACCCTCTATCTATCAAGCACAGTGTGAAATACCTGTGTGCAAGCTCGTCATGTGATGTGAAGTTCTGCCATCTCATAACGTGTTACAACAAAACTGCAGTAGCACACTCTTGGGGGTTGTGTACCCTTGGAGGATCTACAGTACTTTTTCCCTTATCGTTCACCTTTACTAAAGTATACCCACTGGCCAGTGGTTATGTTGTACCTCTACTAAAGTATACCCACTGGCTAGTGGTTATGTTGTAGCTCTACTAAAGTATACCCACTGGCCAGTGGTTATGTTGTACCTCTACTAAAGTATACCCACTGGCCAGTGGTTATGTTGTAGCTCTACTAAAATATACCCACTGGCCAGTGGTTATGTTGTAGCTCTACTAAAATATACCCACTGGCCAGTGGTTATGTTGTACCTCTACTAAAATATACCCCCTGGCCAGTGGTTATGTTGTACCTCTACTAAAATATACCCACTGGCCAGTGGTTATGTTGTACCTCTACTAAAGTATACCCACTGGCCAGTGGTTATGTTGTACCTCTACTAAAGTATACCCACTGGCCAGTGGTTATGTTGTACCTCTACTAAAGTATACCCACTGGCCAGTGGTTGTGTTGTGCCTCTACTAAAGTATACCCCCTGGCCAGTGGTTATGTTGTAGCTCTACTAAAGTATACCCACTGGCCAGTGGTTATGTTGTACCTCTACTAAAGTATACCCACTGGCCAGTGGTTATGTTGTACCTCTACTAAAGTATACCCACTGGCCAGTGGTTATGTTGTACCTCTACTAAGGTATACCCACTGGCCAGTGGTTATGTTGTAGCTCTACTAAAGTATACCCACTGGCCAGTGGTTATGTTGTACCTCTACTAAAGTATACCCACTGGCCAGTGGTTATGTTCTACTTGGTCAGACTTACTAAAATGTGCGCTTCGTTTCCGAAGCCTACCAAGCAAATCCAAATTATCTCAGGACGGAATAAACTTCCCAGCTACCTAACAGTGTCCTTCAGTTGTCGATTTGTGACATTAAGGAAGGAATGGCTCAAAACTCCAAAGGAGGCAGCACCTCAAACTCCTAGACGACTCGTGCGTTTCGCGTTCAAATGTTGTCGTCAGAGGACTCTTGTTGCTTCACCTGCAACACTTGTGCTGATACCAAGACCCCCAATACGATGGAGAATTGTCACGGAGTACCAGGAACTCCAGGGCGATCGTTCTTGATTCCCTCCTGACAGATTAAAGTCGCTGCAGTCTCTGTTTCCTGGGCAGAATTTTCTGCAAACGCGTCATCCAGAAACTAGTGCAGGTTGTCCAGCTCACTGATGTATCTCGCAGTCGTCCACGATGTGGGGGCCGACGACTAAAGATCGCCGAGAAACTGATCGAAAAAAAACCCTGGAGTCGCCTTTCCCACGAGAAACTGGCTGGAAAACTGAAATGAACAAACAGTGAAGTTTTCTGCGGATGCGGTTTGTGGATGGTGTGAGGTTTTCGGAGCCGCGAGGCGTTATCGTTGCACCAAGCCAATGCGAAAGCTCCATCTCGTCTCCAGTGACAGTGTACTACTACCGGTAGTGGCCCATTGATTCATACACCAGGGATGAGCGCATACTTTCGGACTGTATGACACAGACTGTCAGTAAGCGGAACAAGGTGATGAGAAGTAATCTTTTTGGTGCGTGGTGGTTTACCTGTTCGCCTCATTTGAAGGTTTCGTGGCAACGTCGGGTGTAAACCCCTATAGCTTGTTAGAGAATTACCCCCACAAACGGTCTCAGGCATACCACGGCCAAAACACCACACAGGTCTGGACAAGTAATTATACTAACTGGAAGGTTATTGTTTGTGCTAATACATACGACAGTACAACAAGAGAGAGAAGTTTGTTCACAAAACCATCGCCATGGGAACACACCAGAACTACTGTAAAAAAGAGCCAAGAGCAGCATGTATCAGAAAGGAACTGGAGCATGCAAGCGTACCACAGCAAGCGCAAACAGCTGCACAAAAGATGAAACATGACACTACTGTTATGACAGCATACATGCATGCGTACAAGAAAGCCGCAACCACAGGATGAATCACGCACATGAATCACATGACAGGCAACAAGAGGTAAGAATTAATGTCAACTACACAAGACAGAGTCATACAAGAGAAAGCCATAGTTCGATTACACGTTCCCACCAGTTGGCATTACTGGCAGAACCTAGCCGGGGCATTCAGGCCATCACGGGGCCGAAGACGCATTACTTCCTCAGGCTCTACTGGCTGGTCTTCCGTTGTATCATCGGCATTCCCACCATCTGTCGGGTCCGAGACATCAGGCTTGATAAGTGACACGTTGACCGTCTTCATTTGCGGCAAGCCTCCTGCATCTCTCTGAATTCTCACGGTGACAGGGGTCACAGTCTCAGTGACGACCCATCCATCCTCGTATGGCGGGAGCCTCTTCTGCTGGCGCTGTGGGCGTAGCATCATCACACGGTCTCCACGGCTGTACGGGTTCTCGGCCTCGGGGCTGCATGCGTCAGGCCGTGACAGCTCCTCTTCCACCAAGTCGCATATCTGGCTAGCCCTATTCGCAAGCTTGGTCACCCACACACTTAGAGACTCAGCCGCAGCATCCTTCTCCACAATGAGATGACGTGGCAACCAGCCAAATATGGCTTCCATAGGGCTAATACCGGTGGCAGAGTGTGGCCGCGTACGGTAGTAAAACAGCAGCACTTCTAGGTCGTCCTTCCAATCAGATGACCGGTCAAGCACCTTCCGTATCATCGTCAAGAGCGTATGGTTCATCCGCTCTGCTGATCCCTGTGACTGCGGGTGGTAAGCTGCTCCAGTGCGCACCTTAGTTCCAAAGACGCGAAACAGCGAACTCACAACAGCATTCGCAAACTTTGTTCCGTTATCCATCCTCACGACTTCAGGCGCGGCAAACTGCAGGCAAACCTTGGTCACAGCTTCAGCGACTGACTTGGCATCATGACGAGGTAGCAGTATAGCATCTGCCCACTTCGTAAAAGCGTCGACAATGACTAGCACACAGTGATACCGCCCTGAGCGATCGATACCGAGCTCCAAGGTGTCAATGACTATCTCACTCCAAGGCTTTCCTGGGATGTCCGGGCGAACAGGCTCTCCAACAGGACCTCGCTTCGTGCTAGCTCGGACACAGGCCTGGCATCGGCGCACATAATCTTGGCAAGCTGTCGACATCGACGGGAAATAGCACTCAGCTCTCAGCATGTCATGCATAGTCTGCCAGTTGGCATGACCAGAGTTGGCGTGCACAGCACTGACAAGCTGACCTTGTAGCGACTCTGGTATCACTGGCACAGCAACGCCACCTTCCACAGGCAGCTTCACACTCCGGTACAACATGCCTTTGTCAACCAGTAGCTGTCCGCCGATCTTCTTGTAACACTCCACCGTCACAGGCTCCCCCTTCTCCAGTTGGGAAATGGCTTGACGAACATCAGCGCACTGCTGTTGCGCAACACTGATTTGCTCCAAAGTCACAGGTCCAATCACCGTCAGGGCCATGGCAGCTACATCATCCTTCAGCAGGGTCTTAGCATAGTGCGTCCACTTCTGAGGAACGCGAGTTAGCCGGTCGGCCTTGTTGTCAGCTGTCGGAACCCAGATGACTTCCACTTCCAGACCCAATTGTGCCACGGTCTCTTCGATAACCTGCAGACGACGTTGGATAAGCACGCTATGCAACCCACTGGTCTTCACGCGCTTGGAGTCGGTCAGAAGCTGTTGGATCCAACTAGCAACGGTTTTGGAGTCGGTCATCAGCTGGATTCGCCGCGCACCCCACTGGACTGCGAGGTTGAGTCCCTCAGCAGCTGCATCCAGTTCAGACAAGTTGATGTGGCGCTTGTCGTCCATCTTTCTCAGCCAACCGCAATCCTCGATGATACAGCCATTGAACTCCAAGGCCGCGCCATACGCGATATCAGAAGCATCGCACCAGACTTTGCATGGATCCTCTGCACTTCCGGGACCTTGTCACACCCCGCCGACTGGGTCATCGCTGCTGAGGCACTGGGCTAAATCAATGCAAAACTTCTTCAGCTGGTCAGGCAACGGATCGTCATACTTCAAGCCGAGAAGGCTAGTTAGACGCTTCAACCAGCTACAGTGCACTCGAAGCCAGCTCGAGACTGGGTAGTGGCCCACCAATGCTCCACACCACTTGTACACTGCACGACGTGTCAACACGTCCGGCAACGCGGTTCGGGGCCCATCTCGCCTAGCCCACTTGACCTCACCGCTGTAATCCTTGCTCAACTGCAGGCCAAGAACGCGCGCGGTCGCCGGGTCTTCCGCCGGCTTTGTCGGGAGTCCATACTCTGCCAGCTGCTTGACGACGGCATCCGTCTGCTCCTTGGGTACATGAGCCCTAGCGCGCTAAAACATGACCACAGCTTTTTTTGAAAAAGTCGAGATAATCGCGATTTTAATTCCGCGGCAAAAAATACGAAGTGCAGTGCAACGCGAGTCGCTGTTGTTGTTCTCCTCGGTCGACTGGACTGTTCCGGAT